CCCCAAATCCCCAAATCCCCAAATCCCCAAATCCCCAAATCCCCAAATCCCCAAATCCCCAAATCCCCAAATCCCCAAATCCCCAAATCCCCAAATCCCCAAATCCCCAAATCCCCAAATCCCCAAATCCCCAAATCCCCAAATCCCCAAATCCCCAAATCCCCAAATCCCCAAATCCCCAAATCCCCAAATCCCCAAATCCCCAAATCCCCAAATCCCCAAATCCCCAAATCCCCAAATCCCCAAATCCCCAAATCCCCAAATCCCCAAATCCCCAAATCCCCAAATCCCCAAATCCCCAAATCCCCAAATCCCCAAATCCCCAAATCCCCAAATCCCCAAATCCCCAAATCCCCAAATCCCCAAATCCCCAAATCCCTAAATCCACAGTTCCCCAAATCCCCAAATTTCCAAATTCTCTTTCCAAAAACATTTCCAAATATTTCCAAAAAATCTAAAACTTTATCAAATACAAATGTACCATAATACTTCTCTCCTGAAATTACCTCTTCCCTATTAAAAAAAACCTAAGTACGAACAAAACAAAATTTCTGAATGGTATATCGTTCATCCGACATCGCGATGGGAGGTCCAAATCGTTGTAATCGGGTAGAAAACTCAATCGCGATCTAACTTTCGCATCAGTAGTTTCACTCATTGTTATTGATTCGATTTTGAATAGGTGGTTGTGGATAAAGAGAAAAGATTTGTCAATTCAGGCGATTTTTTCATATATCACCATCGTCAGCTTACAACTTCACAAATTTGCAAATTTCTTTTCATGATAATTTTTTCTTAAATTCATCACTGAGTAACTGATAATGAATTTACAGATGATCATTTATAGATGATGATTTACTATCATCATTTATATAGTTATTTACAGATGATCATTTATAGATGATGATTTTCTATGATTATTGTAGATGAAGGTGTAATGTAAGTGAAAAATAATTCAAGGGGTTAATTGATAACAAAAATGGAGATTTGACGATGTGTCATTACAAGGAAAGATTTAGAAGGAATGAAAAGTTTGAGAAACTTGTTTGTTAGAAATTTAGCAGCCTCGAAATTTAGAATACCTAATAAAATATATATTTTCTTGTTATTATAGGTAGAAGATTAAAAAGGTTAACAGTAGATGGAAGGTTAAAAAGTCAAACTTAACCTAACCTAATCTAACCCTTGATACTCCTATGTCAAACCACACTTGACTTCACATTTCTCTTAGTTCTTATAAACAATAGATAACAAATTTAAGTAAACAATTATACAATATAGATTGGTAGACTAGATATTTTCATTTATTACTTACTTATAATAAATGAAAAATGTATTTATCACATACTCCACACTGCTGCTATATTTTTCACCGAGAACCTCTTCATTTATTTTGTAAAATTGGTAGGTAAAAGAAATTGAAGAGTTCAAAGGGTTAAGGGTGTCCAAAATAAAACGGCTATAAATATCTCCCTTATTAAAAGAAAAAAGTGAGTCGCGATAATTGTGGAGGCCAGAGTGACTACATCTCACAAATTCGAGAACCATCAAAAATATACACAGCTCTCCTATATACATACAAGGTTAAGAGAGTCAAATATAAAATTAATGGTGTCCAGAATAAAATAGTGACTAATATCTTATTAACAGAAATAGGTGAGGTATAATGAATGTGGAGGTTGCTTAGAGTGACCATATTTCACAAATGCTAGGTTTATCTTCCCACAAAAATATGTACAGCTCTTCTATACAATAGAAGGTCAAGAAGGTCAAATATAAAATTAAGGGTGTCCAAACTAAAACAGTGACGAATACCTTATTAAGAGGTAAAAAGGTGTTGCGATGACTGTGGAAGCTAGCGTGACCATATTTCCCAAATGCTAAAACCACCCCACAAAAGTATCTACAGCTCTCCTACATGGAAGGTTAAAAAGATCAAATATAAAATTAAGGGTGTCCAAACTAAAACAGTGACAAATACCTTATTAAAAGGTAAAGGTATCGCGATAACTGCGTTGAGTGACCGTATTTCGCAGCAAAGGACCCTGTCGCGTAAATTAATCAGAAGGGCTCTTCGGGGTGAGCCTGCTTTTCTGGGCCACGTGCCCATGGGTATCGGTATTTTGGGATACGTTAATACCTCACTATCTACACGGATAGAGAGAGAACAGAGCGAAACATCCACTCCTGTACATTGTTTGCGGCTTGGAATCAATAAAAGCATAGCTTTAGGCGACGGTGGTCACCATGGCAACTAGAGACCCATCCGTGTACCCTGTTTCTCTCTCCTCCCTCCTCTCCTCCTCTCTTTCTCTTCCTCCTCTTCGTTCATCGCACGCACATCTATTCTCTTTTCGCAACTCGCGGACATCTTTCTTTCCTCTTTCTCTTTTTTTTTTTCCTTTATTTTCGTACCTCTGTCACCTTTGTCTTATTCGGCCTCTAGCTTTTCTTTCCCATCGCACGCGTGTTAACCGACTTTTTTTCTCTCTACTGTTTCCCATTGGACCCTTTACGGTTCCTCTTTTTTACGGACTTTCTTGTTTTTAATTACTCTTATTTGGCACGGGTCGTCTACATATTTTGGTCTTGATGGCTTTTTTATTTGGAATCTAACGGAAGTTGGGATAGTAACCTAAACAGTTCTTAATTCTTTTTTAATAAATTACTGTTCTTATTATTTTAATACATTACTGTACTTATTATTTTAATAAATTACTGTTGTACTTTAAGTAACTACTGTTGGCAGTATATTATTTAATTCTGTCTGTTTTGTACAAATTTTGAAGCTCTTGTGGATCGTTTGGCATACTTTTATGATAAAAATTAAACTATTCTTGTTTCAGGTAATTAAATAAGGTTCTTTTAAGGTTCTTTCTTTATTCAGGTGCTGATAAATGCATAACAGAATAAGCTATGATCTAAAGATTGTAGTAATAAAATTATAAATTTCTCTACTATTAAACCAATGTTCCTATATTTTTTATTTATAGCCTGAATATTTGTTAAATATTTAACAACGATTTGCATTAAATTCTACATGCATTTCTTTTTATTTTCAAAGCATATAAAAAAGAAGTATTTTCTAATCTTAATAGTAATAAAGATTAGTTTGTACTTTCAAGAGATATTACAGAGGATGGAATAAAAATTGCTTTTTATTTCCGAAAGATGTTAAGAAAGATGTAAAGATTATTTTCTATTTCAAGAAACTGTTAAAAATTGCTTCTTATTTACGAAAGATATAAAAAAGAATTCTATAAAATTTTATATCAAAAAGATATGATTGTTTTTTATATTCAAAAGATGTGCAATTTTTTTATGTAAACTTTGTTACATATCGAAAGTGGCAGTGGAAAATGTAAATATAGTCAGACATACTGAACTACTTATTGCCGATTGTTACAGTAGAAACAGAAATATGTAATAAGACGCGGTATAACTATATGAAGAAATTGTCTTCAACTTTCTGCCACTCGTGGCGCCACTAGCATATGTGCCATCAACCACCGATATTTTAAAATTGAAAAAATGCTGTATAAATATAACTATATTTATATTATTATCTAAATAAATATTACTATGATATAATATTAAATATTATTATAATATTTATACTTAAAGCTATATTACTGTATTATATTATTATAATATTTGTAACATTTTAATTTACTACAAATAGCATTGTTCTTTGTATGAGTTTCTACAAAGTTTCAAAACTTAAAATTTCAAAGCACCAAATTTTCCAAATTCCAAATTTTTAAAGATTCAGGGTCCAACATTCTCAAAGTATCAAAATTAAAAAATTTCAAAACCCTAAAATTGAAAGTTCTAAATTCCATAAACCCCAAAATTCTTGAATTCCTCAAAAAAAGAAAGTTGTAACGCCCCAAATTCTGTAAGTCCCCAAATCCCGCCTTCCCAAAATTCCAAAATCCCAAATTCCCAAAATTGCAACCTTTCCATTTCCCAAAGTCCAAAACTTCCAAACTTCTACAGCTCCTAATTCCCTAAATTCTCACCAACCCCAATTCTATGTTTTATTTAACTATTTTATATGTCTCAACAAAACAATCACCCCAATTAATTCCACCCCTGCAGAACACGTGTAAAATATTCCTCAAAAATCTCTCAAAATGAACCCTCTCATAATGCACCTAAAAAATATACATATAAATATCTACTAAAAAATGAATATCCACAAAATTGACTCTCACAACTTGAACCAAAACTTATTCCTTTTGAAATAAACCTTGATTTTCAACTTCATATCAAATTCAAAACTAAAATTCCCCGCTTTGCGATGAAAAAGCATCACCGAGCAACTCTCAGAACACGCAAACTCCGTTAAGAAGGTCGATAAATGTCACGCGCTTTTATCATCGCAAAATTCCAGTCGAAAACTCTGTCACATCAACGAAGAAAAATTGAGCAACAATTTAAGAATCAATGATCGGCCAATTATTCTCTTCGAGTTCAGGTAAAGTATATATTTTATTCGTTAATTTATTCGTGCGCTTTGGTTTGATACAAAGAGGGTGTACAATAACAAACTCCGGCTTCTTTTCCGTGCTAGGTTAGGTCGCACCTAACCTAATCTGAAGAATAGGGGTAGTTTCGATTGTTGCAACATGTTGCGACATAGAGCGCGTTATTTGAACGTATTTTTGTGAAGATATTATATCATAGAGTCTCTACAAAGCAAACTTTTTAGTAAAACTTGATTGGAAATAATTTTTAAGAAATATGGAATGATTTTTATAAGATCCATGAGATATTTCAATTTTTACAAAAAAGCGGATTTGTAAATTTATTATTAAAAATGTAATGAGAGCTGTAATGAAAATTAGAATAGTATTAAAAATTGGGAAGTTCATTTTTTTGTGAAAGGTCATAATGAAGCTTACTATAAATCAAAGGTGAACATTTATGTTAATGTTAATCATTACAACGTACATATGTTAGTATTATTAATCATTGCAACGATGAAGAAGTATTTTCGGAAATAGTAATCTTAAAAAAAATATTGCACATTCGACCCAACACTATATACCTAAATAAAAAAAATTCTATCAAAGCCTCAAGCCAGTAAAAAGTCGCCTACTCTTCGTGACACTATACTGAATAAAAAAAAAAGAATCTGAAGCGGTCACAGGTCCCCTGTAAGTCGACACAGGTACATATGGGCTCTCTTGTTGAATGGACCAAATGATATAAATTATTTATAGATTTCGACACCAGAGCGAGGACGAAGAATCGAGGGTGTTCTGTTCGAAATGGGGTGCATACCCAAGGGGGGTCCACTTGCATCGAAAGCCCCTTGAGGCCCCCTCACAACATATGTATTCTCACTCAACCACTGTAAGCCTATATAAAATTGATTCCTAAGTACCCTGGATTTCTGTCAATCTCGCGCGTCTTTTAACACTGTTCTCTCACTTATCTTTCGTTTGTTCTGTTCAGGGAGTGTCAAATTTAACGGGCAAACATGACTAAAAACGATATGTTTGCTCTTCTTTATACTTTGACTCTTGTGTTTCAAAAATAAGAGCTATTTTCTTTTTCTTGTACTGAGAAAATATTGTTTTAGATTACTGTTGCAAGAATTAAATTACAATATTCTTTTGAACTAAATTATTAAATACATAAAGATATTGTTACTACATAATAGTAAGGTATATATTATTATATATAATAATGTATATGTTTATATTGTTATATTAACAATATAAAAATTCTACAATTATTATTACATAATAATTTAATGTATAATAAACTTGACAATATGATAACTGAATCGTACAGTAATATAATAATCATTTTTATAATGCAATAATAATTTAGTAATTTATATAAATAAATTGCTTGTAAATTTTCTTAATGTCACCGAAAGTGTTTTGTGTCTCCAAAAATTATTTTACAAATATTCAGACACTAATGCAATTCAACCATGTAAAAAATTAAATCGATTGACAGAATCAATTTTAGCAAAGTGAACAGAGCAAAACAGGGTACCTGTGACAAATATAAATTGTTTCAAATATATACAAATGTAAATTATTTTAGTAGAAATATACGAATGTGGCCTATTTTATATAAATGCATTGCATAGATACAAGTCTACGAAAGAGTCTACGAAAAGAATTGGTGACGAATGATGTGTAACAAATTTGAAGACGGGCCCAGCACCGTGCACGGTGCCCCCCGGGGTCCAATCTAAATCAATCGGCTTGTGGGTAATCGCATAATAATTACTAGGACCCCCTCTACCGCCCATCTGTCGCTAGCCAAGGGCTGTTCAACCCTTAGAAGTGGCAGTAGGCAACACAGACGATGAATATGTCCCAGCAGGTCCTATTGTTATTGGGCATAGCAAGAAGTATCGTGCGGTGTCATTCACCGTTATCGCATCTTTTTGCATTTATATGCTCCTACTTATCTATGCAATAGGGTAATTCTGAAGGAGCACATTTTTTAAAACGCCTCCACTTTTAGGACATTCCTAAAATATTTACAATTTAGTATTATTTACAATTCGCCAATACAATTTTGCAATTATTCAGATTGGGTTAAATGATCCATAAAATTAAATAAAATGTATTAGGTTAAATAATTGGATCTGTTAAGTTAAATATACTTTTGTGGTAGGTGAAGTGACCTAATGAGATAAAGAAGTTATTATAATGATATACAATAATATTGTGTTATAATGGTTGTGTATAATGTACTGTTAATGTATAATATAATGTATAATATAATGTATAATATAATGTATAATATAATGTATAATATAATGTATAATGTATTATGTATTAATACTACAATAACATATAACATAGTTTCACATAATTATATATTTCACATAATATTTACATGTAATACTACAACACATCATTTCAGACGAACAGATGCTAACTACACTCGTAATCGGTCTATGTATCGGATTTTCGAATGGTTTCCGAGGACCACATCATCCACGAAGCGCCGTGTCCCACCACCATTATGCTCCACAGAAAAACATTAAGATAACACAAGATGCAGAACTGCTTCAAGATGCTACGTTAGTTAACACTTAACTCATTTCTTCGATAACGATTTTATTTAAGTATGTGTTCGTTTTATCCTATGACACTTTCATTTATTGAAAACTTCTAAAATAGCTACTATCTTTATCCCTGTTAGAACAAAGACATTCTTAGACGCTTTTTGTTTCTCTTTTTAAATTATTATTTGTTTATTGGTATAATGTTGATACTCGATTTTGTGTTATTTAATGTAATGAAAGTGGAAATTATGAGTGTGTGATTTCAGTCATTTGAGGGAAGACATAGGATCCATGGCAGAGCAACTGGACTTTTCTAATATGACTGAACAAGAGATAGAATTCCACTATTTTAAGTATGTTTACAAAATATTTTCTTAATTATTATTTACAGAAATATGTTATATGTTATATTGTTGATTTATTTTCAATAGTTGAAATAATAACTGAAAAGCAAAAATTGAATTACAATATTACAGAGTTCATGATGTTGACAATAATGCAAAGCTAGACGGATTAGAAATCCTTCATGCAATTCAGCATACGTTTCATGACAATAGAATTCCTGATGAAGATATGAGTGAAGAAATGAAGAGTGTGGACAGTGAAAAGGACCTGCCTTGGATTGTAGGTATGTAAATAGGTTATTTATAGTGAATTCTTCATCTTATGTAATAATTGTCATTTGTTGTCAAGAATTAATAGACAGAGTGCTGAAAGAGGATGATGTTGATAACGATGGATACATTGGATATACTGAATATGTACTTGGAAGACAGAGAGACCATATTTCTCAGGCAAAAAGGAACGACAAGTTGAAAATTGAAAACTGAAAATGAATCTGATACAGGTTTTTAATAAATGGAATATATGGACCTGCGGAACATACAAATTTATGCCTAAAATACACTTGAAACGATATTCCTTATTTTTCTTTAATCAACTTATTTGTAATTCTCTTATACTAAAATATACAAATAATATAAATTTTAATACAATTTTAATGCATAAGATAGTGTATAATTTATTTTTCAATTTACTTATTACTGATAAGACCAAAGCGTGTAACAATATTTTGTATATGGAGTGTTTTATTTTCATTAATGTACACACATATCGTTAAAACACAAATTATTTTTGTCTTTTATAATACAACATGTAGTAAACAAGTAACTGTTTAAATTTTATAAAGTGGATGTGCTTTAAAATTTTTTCAGTACTTCTAAGATTTACTTTGAAATAAATCACCTGAAATAATCTGAAAAGATGCTAAAAGATTTTTATTTCTATCTGGCATTTTATCGTTTATATTACCAGCAATTTACAATGTTATTTATTTATGTCAGAACAAGACACCCTGTATATGATCAGCGTTTAAAAATTAACGATTTTATTTTTTATTTATACGCACAATTTAATAAATCTATTGCACATTTCTGTATAAGTGAATGATATTATGCACATAATTAACATTATTGAATGAATGAATTTCGAATTTACATTTAAATAACGATCGAAACATATTTTCACCACTCAAACTAAGGCAAACCTTACACACATAAAATGTACTTCCATGTACACGAATAAAGAGAATTTATTAACGTGATAGACTGAATTATCATTTAATATCTAAAGATGTAAATTGAAATAACAAAATATAGTCAGAAAATGTACAAAACTGTTTGGCCTTTAAAATATACAATTATTTAATTTGCAATAAAAAATATTTCAGATATTCTGTACGCGTCTAATAACATTTAATACCATGTTACAAATATTTACTTAAACTATATATAAATGGATATTCTTTATATGCAAATATCAAAATTGAAATACAAAATATTTAAAAAAATTTTCAAGTTGTATTTACTGTTCACTGACTCTTACAAATTATGTAAAAATATATAGTTACTCCAAAACGCATAACGGATTGTCCGTTACGACAAGACACTTTTCCCAAAGGTCTTTGACTATTTGTATCTGTTAAACACAAACAATTATAAACATGTGTAAGTGACTTTTGACATAACTCTCTTACCTTATTATGATCACCATCGATTGGCAAATCTTCCACGCGTACAAATTCAGGATACCGCAATATTATTTCTCGTATTGCGGGCACAAATTCATCGCCGACTTCTAAAAATTGCGGTTCGTATTCATGATATTCCTTGGAATTTTCTGTGGAATAGTATATTCTGTATGCTTCATCTTCTTGAATCAATCTGTAAATAACAAATAATGTATTTTTTAAATTAACATGGAGATATGTATACAAAAATCGTACCTTATACAATGAGACCTCAATAATCGTACTCTCGTATCTGGTTCAATTTCTACCCTATTCTTAACAATTCCGTTTGCAACCATCTGTTCACCATCTTGAACAACGGAACATTCTTGTTCACTTTCTGACAGAACAGGTGGTAAGAAATCATACACATGATTTTTAGCCATCATATCTGCAGCTTTGTCTATGTCAATATGTTCTATTAGTTTGGTAAATAAATCTTTTACTTTTGCTTTGAATTCTTCTCTGCCATTACTCTGACTCTCAGAATATACATGACCATTGTGTCTCAAATAATCAAGCGGTAATCCTTTTCGAAATTCACTATCAGTTCTTATAGCAGTATTTAGTGCTTCAGGAAGTAATTTCTCTAAATAGTCACCCCAACTATTTTTCTGATATACACTTAATGTAATGTGAAGACTATGTGTGTCATCCAAGGTTTCACCCTGATGAATTGTTCCTCGCGGAAAATACAGTAAATCTCCGGCATTTACAATCGTATCCAATATTGGTTCACCAATTTCAGCTTCCGAAAAGTTTTCTGAAGAATACCTTGGCAAGTATTCGCTTTCATTTCGTGGTTTATATAATCTCCATCTCTTTTTTCCTTCAACTTGTAATATGAAAGCTTCAATGTCATCGTAATGAGGTGCAAATCCTTGACTATTGGGAGGTGTTAAATAAGAATTTGCACCAACGAAACAACCAAAAAATTCTTGAAGCGTAGCTGAAAATGGAAACAATTAAACAGATTCAATTATTCAATTATTTGATAATAATTACCATTTAGTGAATGTAACTTTGATATATATGTTTGTGGATTCAACATTCTGACAGAGCACCCATTCATATAATAGTCCCAAACAACACTTGGGACTGCACGACCAGCAGGATTATGTGTTTCTCTCACACCATTTTCATATGAAGTAATATCAATATTTTTGGTAAACATTATATAGGATTCTCTTAATATTTTATCCAACATTGGAGTGGACATAAGTAACTTGTAATAATTTGGGAAATTTCTTTTGATATGAACAGGTGTCTTTTCCCAATTGTTTCTGAAAAATTAAATTATGAATTCTGTGTTAGATTAAAATGATTATGATGCTTCTCGTAACTATTTCAAACTTACTGAAAGAAATCTTCCACTTTCATAGGATGTATTAACCATTCAAACATAGAGTGACTGGTATTTAAAGGATTCTCGTGGCTTTCTTCACATGCTTTACTTCTTGTGTAAATATTCTGTTGTTCATCCTTTTTTATTATCTTTCTACTTTTATTTTGTTTTTTTGTAACTTGTTTCATTTTTGCAACACCCTTATTTATTGTTAAAAGGGAGTTTTTTAATTTCTTTTTTGGTTCCTTTAGCTTTAAATTGGTTTCCATTATCTTATTATTTTTCCTACTGACTATTGGTTTTTGAATAACTTTATTTTTTGTAGAAGTAATAGAAGAACTAGTTTTCTTGGATATTATGTTATTCTTTTTATTTGCTTTTTGAATTTTATTCCCAGAAATTTTTGTTTGTTGAACAGTTTTGTTTACAGCTGCTTGCCTTGTTTTCCCTTGTAATTCAAGTTTAGAATTATTCTTTGAAACTACCTTCTTCACAGGGGAAACATGCCTTCCTTTGAACTTTTTTGATTTCGTAGATAGTTCTACATTTTTACGTTTCGTAGCATACACAGCAAATGCTGATACTGGTTCATGACATTTAAGCATCTACATGAACAAAGACACGAAAAGCTGCTCAGTTATAAACTTTTAACTAATATATAGAAAAATGTAAGTAGTATCAACTCATTGTTGTAACACACAACTTTAAATTATGCTCTGTAGATACATAAATTTAATGATAAAAATTTAAAGGATATATACTAAATCCTTAGAAGTACAATTTGGTATAACTACCACAATCATTTATAATCTACTAATAATATATAAATTTTAACACAAAACATAAGCGGCAAGTTTTAAGGTTAAATTTTAGTATTTTCCAAATATATTAATAAAACACATTTTTACAATTACCGTGAAAAATATTAGACAATATACAGTATACAATATATTCCAATTAAATGTGATAATTATTTAACACTGTTACTGTTACAAATCTTTCAGCTTGAATTTATCTTAGGTCTAACACGTGTAGCCGACTGCATATCATATTGAAAATAATACACACCACGCTTAAATCGACATAGTGCTCAATTCACATTTGTTTATTATTAAATATCATCAGGGGTACAATTAAATATTTTAAATACGAAATCTAACTTTTTAGTAGTAAATATTAAAGTTAAATGAACATATTCCCGGGCGAGACTTTCTTTCAATATTTTATGAAGTCCGTCATGGTGTCTTAGGAAAGTAATTCTATTTATTATTGATTCAAAAGATATAAACAAACTACAACACCATTATTTAAGTTAAATTATTATCGTAGAACACTTTGTGTGCGCCGGTGAAATACAAAAATTGTTTATTTTACGAAAAAACAATTTTGTATTTCGTTAATTCCGGTGAGCACCACCAAATGGCGCTAAAAATATTGTTTTCAAAGCGCGCGTTACTGTAAAATTAAAAATATGTAAAAAATAAGTTGCAGAACATTCTCGTTGCATTAAATTACCTATTTTAGAATAAATAAAGTAATTAGTTTAGTCAGAACATAAAATTTTATTCATTTTTTAATCATTCTTTTGGGAGTCGAATCAGATATCCATCTCCCATAGATAGAACCGTATGTTCCATCCACAACGAAAATCATGTTCCTGTTTATGAAGGAACAAATCCAATGTATAATTGGTCTCAAATGAAATTACTAATACATCACATTCCGTGTTTATGTATTAGGCAATACTCTGTATCATATCCATATTAATTTTTGAGGAGAATTGGTTTTATGCAAAACGTTTTTATTATCACCACTTAATATATTGCACGGCGGTCAGTTTTAAAGCGAGAAACAGACGCCACACTGTGTTAAAATTAAGTAATATATTTATTCGTATACAAACATTAAATGACCTATTATGTATTGTCATGTTACTTTACCTTCTGAAGAGTGAAGAAATATATAATACAACCAAGTGCAAAGATTCTTTCTCTAGGTAAAGCCATCTGGCAATAAAAAGAAGAACTAATTAAACTACAGTTTCAAAAATGTATACTTCCTGTGTTATCAACATAGGATAACATTACAATATTACTTGAAATATTTTCAGTACACTACAATTTAGGCAACACATTACACACTAATTTTACAATAAATTAAATTTATTTAAGAAAAAAGAACAAATTTTCTGTTGTATTAGTTTCTTAGATCATCGTTAGATGGCAAGAATGGTTCTATTTCAAAATGGCGGGTTGTTACAAAATTAAAAAACATCTAAAAATAACTCTACTATATTTTCCTCTTATTCAATTGATTACTTCATAGGAACATATATTGTTCTTTTTACCTACTAGTGCGTGACAAAAGGATTATAACAATGAAAGAGTAAAATAGTTAAGAGCAAATTATATACTATAATAAAAATTATATTTATCTTAAACTGCTATATTTATTCCTTAAAATGGATTGATTCTTTTTAATAGAGCACTCAAATTTTTTAGATTCTAGATAATTTTTCACCTTGATAGATTAACCTTCAGATCACAGAATCTATTTTTAAAACATAAACAACAAAGTGGGGGCAGTATAGTTCTGCAATATAAATTTGCAGAAATAGATTTTTAAAAAGGTTTTCATGATATAAAAATACGTCACATAACAGTACATGTAAATTTATAAAAATATTGTTACCTGTATCCCTCTGGCGGTGAATAAAAGTTATATACAACTTTATTTTTGCAATAATATAATTTTAAACTAAATGATATTTTTAATTTATTAATTCTATTCCACAGACATTAACAGCTTCATAAAAATTCAAAGAGCATGATACAGTGATTTTATATTAGCATATTAATCATTTTACGTTAATACTTAAGTATCATTAAATGCAAGCATTTTCATGATCACGAGCAAGGTTATGTACATTCCCACTTTTTTTTATAAATAAAGGTAATACGTTTACACGTGCATTTATAATTAATATACAAACAAGACAAAGAGGAGAATGTTTATCACAATACTTTTCAAAATATTTCTTCTATGCTTTTTGAATTGCCATTTTCAAAGTTGAATATTATTCGAACGATCTTCAACTACAATCTTCAAACCAAAGACAGCAAATATTCGAATAGAAATATATTCCATTTAAAATAACCTGCAATCCTAATTTTATATCTTCGTTTAATTCCAATATTATTTAAAAAAGCAATTAATGGTTATTGAATATTATAAAGGTTATTCATGTAACCTGCGACTTTATCGCCCATCAATGATCTTAATTCTTCGAAAAATGTTTGGCAAATAATCGAAGTATCAGCAGGAAAGTCGTCAGATTAGTTTCTGCTTCGCCAGATGGCAGAACAACGATTACCTGTTATCTGAACTTTTACCTGAATAGCCGTGGCATCAGGGACCAACCAACCAATGGGCGTCCATGGTTCTGTAGGGCCCCGGGTAACCCCCCTACCACTTCATCCTGGTTGCCTGGCTCGAGTGCAACAGATTACATAGTTCAGAAATTCGTTCGCTGTAAGCAGGAAAACGGCTTCTACACAGTGTCAGCTTTCGACGTTGCTTTTGATGCATCTACGTCACGTTAGTGCAATACGTACGCGCGCGTTAGACTGCTAATATCCGTAGAATATTCACCGACGGAAACGAAAACAGGTGAGCAATGTAGATCCATTAAACGTCTCTTATCGCCGAACCAATCTCGATGACCATTTCCCCGTTAAAATGGCATCGACTAAGTTCCGACGATCTTCGTTTTACGACTAACGATTCACGTTGAATCGATCGATCCTCGAGGTCGCAAACTTCGATATTTCTTTTACGCAGTCATTTCTTGAATATTCGTCCTATTTCTATCGGGGACTGCTTGAACCGTGCTTCACGATTAAGGTCACATGACTGCAATGTGCGTGTTTCTGCCATGTTCGATGAACAAATACTGCAGAATTCTTTATGAATTTGTTCAATGTAGAAAGTTTGATAGTTTCAGTGAAATTTTGTGATTTAGAAATTATATTGCATGGTTTTATTTCACTTTACATTTATCTGTTTTAATTTTAAGTTTACTGTACTTGATCCTCTTATACGTGAATTTTAAACTAAACATGTAAGAGAATATAACAAATTCCATGTGGGGACACTGCAAAGTGAATTTAATCAATTGTTGTGTAGTCTTACTGTACTTATCATTGCAAATTTTTATTTCCATTATCTATTATCTTGAATAAATTTTGAAAAGTGCTTACAACTTCTAAAACTGAGTTAGTTTACAGTTAGACTATAAAATTAAAAATATAATATAATTATTAGGCAGTTGCTAAATTTACACCTTTTTGATCTTATGTAAATTCATTGTTGGAAGTTAATGATGCGTGAAACGTAATCGAAGGACGAGTAAATAAATTAGCGTTAACACATGCGGCAACATGGCGATGCTCAAAATTGTTTGTTATTACAATTATTATTTGAAAGATGCAACTGGCTTGAAATTATTGTTGGCCACGATGAGTGTTTCATACCTTTGCGTGCGTATCAGAGGCGATAGATTAGCGTATTTTTGCGTCCTCATTGGCGCCGAACAACTACGAAACAATGAAGCCGATAAGAGTAGAAGGCAAGGTAGCATTTTACCGAACATCCAAGACAGTTTAAAAGCATTCGTTATCTAAATTCCAGATGTGTTAAATTTTCCAGAATATTCTGAAGAGGTTCTAACATTCCAAAAATATTTTTGTTAAAACTAGCAAACATTATAACATATATAGTTTACTGTATCTTTGTTTCTTTTATACATGATATTTTGCAGTATTATATAAATGACTTAAAATAGAAATTCGTACATTGTTATTTTTTATCACTCGTGAAGGTTAAAAACGAACCATTTATGTAACAGTTCAATCGACCAATATATTTGAAAAACCGTTATATATAAATATTGTGTCAGGTGTGTATTTTATTGTGACACTATCGTGGACAAAGAGTTCATTGTTTGCAAAGGATATACACAAACCAGTTTCTAAAAATAAATGCACCAAAATGAAAAATCGTTGATTCTAAGAACGTGAAGCAGTACCGGCATTAATATTAATATAAAGCAGAATGTTTTTACGTAAGCAACGCACCATGCTGTCGCCACATTATGGGCACACATACGTGCGCATAAAGGCAGTGGTGATGTGTGGGACACTAGAGAACGATTTAAAAGCGGCCTGACAGTCCAAGCTAATCCAACCGAGAAAACAGATCTATTGAGTGTTCTGCTGCACTCGTGACAAGAGATGTTTTTATTCCTACGTTAAATCGTTTCAAGATTAAAGGACCCTAGATGCCATAAGAACTACAAACATAAGAGGTGCTTAACCTTTAGGTGCAGTGGTTTACAAATGCAATTTGTAAATATTTTTTTACAAAATATACTTCATGTTGATTATTAATATATTAACTCTTTTCATTCTTATTTTTAAATACTGAGGCAATCGCCTTAGTGTGGAATAACTAGTTTTCTGAATAACATACCGTTAGCTTCGCGCAAAGAAAATATATGCACACCTTTATCATTCATATCTTCTATTTAAACTTCAAACTTAGCCTGACTTGACCCAAATATATATTATTCAAATTTATATATTCTTGCTTAAATTTCTAACGTAACAGGAATAATAAGATGTTAATGATTTGAGTACCTGGTTAGGAGAGGTTAGGTTCAGTTCAATTTATTAATTTAGGTTAGGTTTTATTACTCAAGTCAGGTTAGGTAAGGTTTAAAGTTCAGCCTTAGTTTTATGATTCAGAGTTATTAGATTAGGTTAGATGGTTTAGATTGGACGTGGTCTAAGGTTAGGTTAGATAAGATTAGTAACGTTGTTAGGTTAAGTAATGTTAAGATAGGTCTTTACTTCAGGTTCATTTAGGTTAATACGTGTTTTATTAGGTTTTGTCTATTAGGTTGGGTTTTGTCATTTTAATTTGTTTATCATTATTTATACTTTATTATTATTTTTTTTGTGCATCATAGTCTATTTCAGTCTTAACAATATTATTGAAACCATTTTTAATTAATTTAAATTGGTACATCATTAAAAGTCTTTGTATATTTTAAATTTAATTTTTCAATTAAGTATTTTAAATTTAGTTTTTCAGTTAAATAGAAAAATTTCGTCATTACACCTGAATGTTAAATTAAACATATTGCACATATTTTTATAAAGTCAGCTGTCGTCTGGCACCTTATCTCGTAGCGCCAAGTAATGTAATAGCGTTGGAATGTTTGCTTCTCTAATTACAGTGTTCAACACATTCTCCTTTTTGAACTTTTAGCCTTCAACAGATGTTTTATAAAGCACAAACCATGACCTCAAAATGCTTGAGATCTCTAATTTATTAAATTTATATTCAACAGTTGTCTAAATAATTTAGTTGAAGTTAGTTGTATATAAACAGTAAGGTAAAATTTTTTAAATTTTGTGAGGTAAAATTTCTAAACTCTCAAATTTCAGAATTCTCAAATTCCAAGGTTCTTAAATTCCCAAATTCTCAAATTTTAAATTTCTTAAATTCCAAGGTTCTTAAATTCCCAAATTCTCAAATTTTTAACTTCTCAAATTCCAAAATCCTTAAATTCCAAAAGTCTCAAATACCAAAATTCTCAAATTCCAAAATTCTCAAATTCCAAAATCCTCAAGTTCCAAAATTCTCAAATTCCAAAATTCTCAAATTCCAATATTCTCAAATTCCAATATTCTCAAATTCCAAAATTCTCAAATTCCAAAATCCTTAAATTCCAAAATTCTTAAAATCATAAATTCTCAAATTCCCAAATTTTCCAACTCTCAACTCCTCAAATTCTTAATATCCTAAATCTCCAAATCCTCAAATTCCCAAACCACCAAACTTTTAACACCTTAAAATTCAGTCCTGCAAATTTCCAACAGACCCTCCAAAAGCAGATAAAATATATCAGAATCCACGCGACTGTTCTGTCCCTGATGTCGCCATTTTCCCTAGGGAAACCCAATGCCCGATGCTGTACATACCACGGTGTCTAAACATAGAATGATAGACGTGTCCATGTAAACCTTGGGTATCTAAAAAACAGGCTATTCAATGTTCCGTAATTTCAATCTTGTTCTGATACTTTCCGTCGAGATCAGAAACGATCGTTTCTGGCCCCTGAATGAATAAGTACCAAGTGGAAGAGCCGGTTCGCCAGATGCTTCGATTATCTTCTTTTTTTTTTTATCTCTCCCTTCGCTTTTTCTTTCAGCAACAAACACGATACTTCTCTCAATCGTGGAAAATAAAATTCTTTTTTGTGCGTCGTACATTCAAAGTTCACGTTTTATTATTCATCGATGAATAATACGAGATATTATAAGTGTCGCATTTGTGACTAAATAAACCATCGCGATATGGAGCGTATTTTATTGATTAACCCTTCTAACTCCGTGCTTCACACGATCAATAAAAATTTTATCGCATATAAATTACTATAATTTTCAGGGGAGAATAATGGGCTGTAGATTGTAGCATTAAAAATTAGAAGAATAAGCTTTGAGAGAATTTTATAAGACAAAGCTTAATTGTAGAGAAATTTTACAACTTTTAAAATGACCATCTTTTTTGTGTTGAATTCTTTGTTTAATGGAGCTCTTTAACATTTTATTGGAGTGCTAACCAGTAAATTATATTTTGAATGACGAGTCGGGTTCTCAATAAAACTGAGAGTTGTGTTATTAACTAGGTATATATAGAAGAGAGACTATTTATTAGCCGGGAAATTTCGACAGATCTCCACATGACTTTATCGAGTTTATTTATTTAAATAAATTATTATAAGTGAGACTGTTATTAACAATTGTTATAATTGTTATAATTAGAAAATTTTATTATTAAAAATGACTATAAGTGAGACTATTATTAAAAATTGTCATAATTGTTTTAATTAAAAAAATGTGTTATTAAAAATTATTATAAGCATGACTATTATTAAAAATTTGTATAATTGTTATAATTACAAAATTTTATTATTAAAAATTACTATAAATGTGACTATTATTAACAATTGTTATAGTTGTTATAATTAGAAAATTTTATTATTAAAAATTACTATAAATGTGACTATTATTAACAATTGTTATAATTTTTATAATTAAAAAGTTTTATTATTAAAAATTACTATAAGTGAGACTATTATATAACAATTCTTATAGTTGTTATAATTAAAATATTTTATTCTTGAAAATTATAATAAGTGTGACTATTATTAAAAATTGTTGCTTTACAAATTTGTTAATATTCCAAAATTAAACATATTTTAAAATTATAATCTATCAAAAATTGCAATTTCAAATGACTAAAATAGTCTTCATAAACAATTCAATAGCTGACATCCTTCTAACAGAAAAATATAAAGAAAATATATTAATAAGTGTGAACAGGATACCAAAAAAAAGTTTGTTGATCAAATCACTATACATGTTTGTATACACGTTGATAGGTTAGGTTATTAGAAGTTTAAATAGGATATTAGAGTAAACGGAAGCTGCCATAAGTTATACATAGGTGTGTTTCCTGGCAGTGGCGCGTAGTTAAGGGTTAAAATTTCCACTTACTTTGCATAACTGGTATCATATTAATGCTATTTAAAATTTAGATTT